CCCCCCTCCGCCTGCCACTGCAACTGCGCCGCCTCGGGTCCCGGTCCTCGTTAGCGCCTGCCCTCAGCAGATCAGACTTTTCGCGGGGCAACTCACATCATTGATAAGACCCAGGCCTTATCTTGCCCACTCGTCGGGCACGACTCGCCGCGTACCTTGTACCTTTGGCCTTACTCTTGGTGCCCGTCGACATCCAGCGCTGCTGTCCGCCGGCCCCCTCCCCCGCGACAGATGTGCAGCGGGCGCAGTGGCGCTTCCCTTGGTCCCCTTGTCGAGGCGTTCGCGGTTGTCCAAGGTACTTTTGCCGTCCTTGTCCCTCGAGATTCCCGTCTTCGCGCGTTGGTACTCGCCCTTGTCCACACACAAGTACCTGTACTCGTACCTGTACTTCCAGGGTTGCGTCCGTCCCGTCGCTGCTTCCAGTTTGCCGTTTGTCGCCGCCCCAGGGTCGCACCTTCCACTGTCTCGTCTCTGCCTTGACTCCGGTCCGGTCCCGGGCAGCTATCAAGGCAGGTGCGCCGCACGCTCTGGCTTCCCCAACTCCTGCGCGACCTCTCCCGCCTCCTCCTCCCTTTCATCTTCTCCTCTACTGCACTTCTGTCTTTTGCTCGTCGCTTCCCTGGCATCCTGCACAAGCCGCGACCCCATATTCTGCAGCGGCGCTGAGAGCCACTGCCTCGCGCGATCCAAAGCCCGACTCACGGCATCACCTGGGTCCTTGTGCCCGCCGAGTTCCGCGCCGTGTCTTGCCGGACCCCACCACCACACCTTGTGTCGTTGCACGGCCCTCGAAAACTTGGTCGTTACTTTTTGCGTTGCGCGCATCCTGTTCCTACGATAGAAGCACCTCAGTCGGAGCACGAGACACGCGACTCAAGCAAGCGCCACGACCGTTTGCTGCACGATCGACCATCCTGCGCATCTCGCCCCTCGCTGCGAAGCCACCGCGACGGTCCGAGTCTTCCCCTGCCGTCGCATCAGCCCCGAGCAGGTTATCAAGGTCGCCTGAGCCTTACCTTCAAATATCGGCACTCCCGACACCTTTGGACCGCCTTATCAGGCCGACGAGCGGTGTATAACAACCGCCAACCACCATCATCAGACGCGACACAAGACAAGGGCCACTCCAGCACCACCTCCCCGCTGCAGACACCCCTGCTTTGCGTCGTGCTGCGCTGCTTGCATTGCGCGACAGGCCATCTCCTGCCCCTCGTCCCCGGCCCACCGCCGTGTGTTCGTTTTACGTACAGACCCTCCGTCGTGTCCCAGCGCCTTGGATGGCATCGGCGGCCCTCTGATCTCCCGGACGGTCCCCCACAGGCATTCATCGACGGGCCGTTGTTGATCGCGGGCAGGCTGTCGCGCTCAAATCACGGCGGCTTCACCCGTTGGAAGACTTCATCCTCGAGAGACCGTCCCCTCCCCGTCCTCTCGTTGATGCCCTCTAACGCGGACCATATCGACGATTGAACCATGCCTGCTCAAATCGCAGCCTCCATGACGGGAAGCATCCCCATCCACATCGCCGAAGACCAGGCAAACGGCTATCGCAAACAACACAAGCACTCCCGATCTTCGTACTCCGAAGCGTCGCCTCTTGCTGGCTCAAGAAACAACTCCCTGACCTTCCGCCCGCCCAAAAGGCTCATGTCATCCCCAAACAAGACGATTGCCATCATCAACGCCAGCGGCAGGCAGGCGGCTTCCCTTATACGGGTTGCCACCGCTGTCGGCTACCGCGTTCGCGCCCAGCTGAGGAATCTCGAAGGCGTCGTCGCGGCCGAGGTGTCTGCCAATCCTAACGTGACCGTCTTTGTTGGCGAGCTTTACACGAGGCACGAGCCCACAGAGGCGAATAAGGACGTCACGCAGAATGGCCCAATCTCCGGCGTCGGCGTCAACCACGAGCTCATTTCGAGCCTCTTCCGCGGGGCGCAGCTTGCCTTCATAAACACGACCTTCTATGGCGACGAGCTCCAAATCGGGATGGCATTGGCAGATGCCGCTAAGAAGGCCGGCGTCCAGCACTACGTCTATTCTTCCATGCCCGATCATGCGGCCTACAGCAAAGAATGGCCGTCACTACCACTTTGGGCTGCGAAGCACAAGGTTGAGGATTACGTACGAAAGCTGGGCCTGCCCGCCACGTTCGTCTACACGGGCATTTACAACAACAATTTTACCTCGCTGCTGTATCCGCTTTTCTGCATGGAGCTGCAGAAGGACGGCTCCTTCATCTGGCAGGCACCGTTTCACGAGGACGTCAAGCTCCCCTGGCTGGATGCGGAACACGATGTCGGCCCGGCGGTCGTGCAGATCTTCAAAGACGGCGTTTCCAAGTGGAATGGCGAACGTATCGCGCTCGCTTACGAGTACCTGACGCCGAGAGAGGCCTGCAGGCTGTTCTCACGTGGCGTGGGGCGCCCTGTCCATTACGTGCGGGGCCCGATAGAGCTCAAGGTCCGCATCCCGACAGGCTACCGGGAGCAACTTGAGGCTCTCGAAAAGCTGTTCAAGCCAGACGAGGCCGATCCCAAGAAGCAACCGCCGTATTTCGGCGACCCGAAGCTCGAGGCCAGCTGTCCTGCGGAGGCCTTGGAGCTTTGGGAAGGCCCCCGTGGACTCGAGGAATATGCCCGAGAGATGTTCCCACTCGAGGAGGAGGCCAACGGCCTTACATGGATGTTTGATGACGACGAACACGAGGCCAAGATCCAGGCGACTGCTACGCACGTGGAGCAGCTACGACTTAACGACGATGACGAGGAGGAGAGCGATGAAGAAGACGAGGGCCTGGTCATGAGAGGCTTGAAGCGAGACGAGGAGCAATGGCTTGCCTAGGCGGCTGCAGCTGTTGGCTGCCGCGGTCAAGTCGCATGTGTCGGAGTACGGAGCGAGCACGGCAGGGCAGTCGAGGGCATGAGCCGCTCGTGCACTCAGTGCCTGTGTCGCCTCCATGATTGGCTTTAGCGGGTGCCTTGGCGTTTGAGTAGGCTGGAAAAGGTGGTAAAAAAGGAAGGATATAGCTTGCATTTAATAAAGGCATTGGCGCCCCTAAGAGCAACCTGCAACTCGTTGCCGTCCATGTGAGCCGACGAGGCGGATTGTTGACCCAAAGGACCAAAAGCCGGACAACAAGTGAGAGCTACTTGTAAGGCAAAAGGGATTCCGAGGCTGGTGCGCTGAGGTCCCTGTCTCTTAGATCGACTACAAACGAGCTGAAGTCTATCGTAGCCGCAGCGACTACCTGACCCAGTACCTACATATCTCCAACGCCACCACGGACAGCACAAACGGCCGGCTTTCTGTTCGAGTCGCGCTTCTCGTCGCCCCTGGACGCATATGGGGACTCCATGTCCACCTTGATCCCGACGGTGCCCTCGGGAAGCTCGTTGAGGTCATCCTCGTGGATGTCCAGGGCACGGAAGTGGAAGTAGAAGCAGGTGCCGACAACGATGGCGAGGATGGCGACGACGCCGTAATTCCAGACGAGGAGAGGGTCCGCCGAGAGCCCGACAAAGGCCTGGCCGATGGCGGCGGAAAAGGACGTCGTGAAGAGGGCCAGGGCCTGGACCATGGAGCGCATGTTCTTGGGGGCCTTGGAGTAGGCGTACTCGAGCGCCGTGATGGAGGCAAAGACCTCGGAGAGCGCGATGAGGACGTAGGAGCCGGCCTGGGCCCAGACTTTGATATCCACGGGCGGGCACTTGACCATGTCCTGCTTCTCCTCGCTCCACATCCTGCCCGAGGCGTACCTGCCGCAGACGGACTTCTGGTAGATGTGGTACTGCACGACGGCGGCCCAGATCATGGCGCACGATCCGACGTAAAACCCCAAGGTGATCTTCTTGATGGGGGTCAGGCGGACGCCGGCTTTGCGGAGGGCAGGGTAGATCAGGAAGTCATTGAGCGGAATGAAGACGAGGAGGGAGAAGGGGTTCAAGTTGGACAGGATGTCGTTGGGGACGCCGTCTCGTTGCAGGACGGCGGCTTGAGAGATGAGATTATTGTTGACTTGTGCGATCGTCAGCATCCGATGGACTTTCGAAATAGCGGCGAAGGTTAATATGCTCACCCTGGTTGTAGCATAGCCAGAAGACGGGAGTCCAGCAAAAGACCGCACAGGCAGCAAACCCACGGCGCAGCTCGTCAACCCAAGCATCGTCAAAGGTCATCCAGCTAGGCTGCGTGCCACGAGGAAATTTGGACGGCTTCACGTTCTCCCAAAAGGTGCCGTCGTTCATGTTCTTCCACGTTCGATAGGGATTAATGGACCAGCGACCCGCCTGGGCCAGGAAGAACGTCCGCACCGCCGGAAGCAGGACGGAGCCGGCAGGTTCGCGGCCGACGTAGCGACTCCGGCCCCACCACATGACGAGCGGCCCGAGGCCAAGTATGATGGTTGGGAGCGTATAAGAGAGGTAGAAGCCGACGTACTGCTCGGCGTACACCATAGTGATCACGCCGATGAGCGCCCCGAAGTTGATGAAGAAATAGAACCAGTTGTAGATGCGCTCGATGGTAATGGCTGGGTCGACGATGACGCGCTCGCCTGACGGGAGGCTTTTCACAAACATGTGCTGCTCACCAAGCTGCTCTACGATCAAGCAACTGAGATTGGGCTTCACACCACCCGTGCCAATGCCCATGACTAAGATTGCAATGATCAGGAGTGCCATGGACGCACCCTGGCGGACAATGATGGGAGGGATGGCCGACATGACGAGAATGACATGGCCGAGAATGTCGATGGCCAAAGCGGTTGTGATGGTCCTGTAGCGGCCCAACTTGGCGTCGGCAATCCACGCGCCGAAAAGAGGCATGAAATATTGCCAAACTTGGTTCAAGGTGGTGATGCCCGTGGAAGCACGCTGGCCTAAGCCCATGGCCCCGGGTTGTTCCAAGCTGGCACCCGTGACGGAGCCTTGGGGTAGGGGTTGTTCAATGAAGTTGGTGACTGTCGAGCTTTGTCGTCAGTTGAGTCCCGCCGTTGTCCGCTTTTGTGCCAGCTTACACATGGCGGTGGTCCCGTAGAACGAGAAACGTTCGCATAGCTCGACGAAGCCAATGGTGAAAAGCTTGATCGGGATCTTGTTAGGAACTCGGCGGAGCGTCGCGAGCTCTTCAGGGGTGGGAAAAGGTTCGAGCATGCCGGCGACAGAAGCGTCTCTATCTTGGTGGAAACCAGACGCGCGACAAATAGCCTGATGGCCGTGGCGAGCGGCCGAAAGAGATATCTTCTTCTCCTCAATATCCTCTTGGTGCAATGCAGCAGCCATGATGGGCTCGACGTTCTCCTCAGCGGGCATTGTGGAGTGGAAGTCAGGGCACAGGATAGAAGCAACGAGGATTGCACGGGGAATAGACTGAGAAGCGAGTTCTTGCCCCAGAGGACAGGGACGTCTTGCGGGGGCAGAGACTTTATACATGCATGATCCAAGAAAGGGATTCGATGTCTCCTCCAGATAACAAGCATTAACAGACAGGCGTCAGCGTGCCCGGCAGTACATTCCAGCATCCTTCTGGGTTATTCTGAGCAGGGGTCCTGGGGCTGCCAGTCTCTGCAGCTGAGGATTCTAGTGGTCAATGTGTAGTATTTCTGGGCAAATCTCTGTCATACCTAGGTTGAAGAGGAGGATGGTGCGGAGTCTGAGTATGTTTCTCGGGCGTCAGTGGCACTCGCCGCGCCAGACAAGACAAGAAAGAGAGTTGAGGATACATCCATGTTGTGATATATTTCTGATGAAGCAACAGAGCACTGAGTAATTTCATCCGGAGTCGGTGTTTGGTTCGCAGCCTGGCTTTGGCCGCTAGACCAAGTCGCAGGAGACGCCATTCGTGCAAGAGAATACCACGATGGCAGGGCCCCCGAACCGCATGGCCTTGCCATACTTCCAATTGCAGCAGCATCAACGAGAAGACATCAAGCTGCGCCAGTGGGGTTTCTTTCAGCGCATGCTGCGCTCACATTTGAGCTTGTTGGCATCAGCGAACGGCCAGATTTCTATATCCAGGTCGCATTGGAGCATCCGGAACGGGACGCTTGTCATGCAGTGCGGGCAAACCGGGGCATGGTAGTTGGTCTCTGGATAGACCAGGATGTCGGAGACAAGTTAGCAGGGCTCGACAAGGATGACAGCCAAAAAGTCAAAATGCCGTCTTGGGAAGCTTGCCTGGGGAACTAATGCTCCGGAGGGCCCAAGGGCCAATATAAGGATCCTCTTCCGTCAGAGCTGAGTTCTCGAGCGGGTATGAAGTGGCCCCTGGCTAAGATGTGAGCACGCGGGCCCGCTTACGTGCCGAGTCGAGTCGAGTCGAGTCGAGTCGAGTCGAGTCGAGTCGAGTCCGTAACGCCGGAGAACCGGAGCAAGGAATTGCTGTCCACGACAGGTCACGCATTCATGAGGAGAGTCTGGGCCCGTTCGACCAGCACCATCGTTGCTGAGTCCGCATCGTGGACCCCGCAACAGGCAGTCATGCGTTGAGTGTGTTGTGTAGCAGTGGCGAGGCTTGATGGAGGGGAGAACGGACGGTAAACTGGGCGATTGGGAGGATGGGGATGATGATGGATGAGGCAGATGAACATTGCCGTCAAACTGACAACCGCGTTGCTCTTGCCTCGACAGCTCAGGGCTAGCCGGAGAGGTACACACAATTTACAATGCACTTCAAGCTCTGTAGGTTGCTTTGGGGTACTCTGTTCTACGTACCTACCTAGTAGCCATGGCACGTACCTTATATGACGGCAGTAGCTGAGCAGGTGCGTGCCATAGCCCCTACCTCCCCATCTGGTGCATGGCATTCGGGCGTTTGACTTTGATATTGCCGAGTGTATCCCGTCCCTTTGCGCTCCTCGCCGCTCTCCGTAACCATGCAGCGTCCAGAAGCCTGTTCTCAGACAACATTATGTGCCCCCCCCCCCCTTTTTAAGCTACCGCAGCCATACCCGCATTGCCGCGCCTCCGTCGCGGTCAAGGCGACCCTTCCTGTCAATGGCGATACCGAAAGATTCGGTGCAACGGGACACAGACTGGAGGTCAAGCCTTTGCCCTGCTTGGGGCGAAGCCGCGCCTGTACATCGGCCAACTTAGCTGGCGAGAACATGCCTTAGGTACTCACGCCCATGTCGGGGTGAATTATACACTTCACGTGCCAACAATACGAGACTGGCTCCCCTTTGTTGGAGCATTGCTCGCAATGCACGATGCGATGCGATGCCTCCCAAAGAGAAGTCACTGACGCTGCTTCATTGCTTTCTAGTACAACATGGAGGCAGGGCCTTTTGCTCTACCCGACCCATTTCTGTCCCCATCCGCATTAACACATTATGGTAGTACACCTCCTCTTTTCCGGCTATAGTTGTACGCCGGCAGGGTTATCCAAAATCCTTCAGGCGGCGCGAAGCCCTTGGCAACCCACAGTCCGAAACTCTGCTTCTACAGGGGCAACGGAACAACTCTCTGGAAAGTCGCCCGTCGCCGTCGCCATCCTTTCGCACCCGTCTTTCTCGGCTCACAGCTCACAGCTTCCCCTTGAGCAGGTTGGAAATCATCTCGCGGCCCGTGATGCGCGTCGTCTTCCACAGCGTCTGCACGTCGAGGGTGCTCGACAGGCCGTCGGCGAAGCCGAAGAAGAGCATGGGCGGGATCCAGCCGCGGGCGTACTCGAGCGCGAAGCAGCTCTCGGGCATCTTGTACTGCTTCACCACGCCGCGGCGCAGGTGGTGCATGCTGCCCTGCGGGTACACCTCCGGCTCGTACTCGCCCGGCACGTAGGCCATTTGCGTGCCCGACAGGATGTGGAAGTAGTCGTCGGCCGTGTGCCGGCCCGTGTGGCCCTCTGTGCCGACGGCGGTGCCTGTGGGATCGTGTTAGTGACTGGCTCGGGCTTCTCATACGATGCTCACAGCGCAGTGAGCGCGTGTTGGGTGTGGCTGACCGAAAATGATGAGATACTCTGTGATACCTGCGATTCCTAATCAGCACGAAGCAACGGCAACATCGTGATGGCAACTCACTGGCATGGATAATGTACATGGCACCCATGGCACCTCCCGCGTTGTTAAACACCCACTCCTCCTCGAGGTTCACATGCGCGGGCACCTTCTCGGCGAGCTCGTCGACAATGTACTTGACCACAGCCTTGGTGTCGTTGCCATGCGCCGCGATGCCCCGCCTCGACAGGTCGTGCAGGTGGTCCAGCTCAAAGACGTAGAACTTGTCCAGGTTCTGCTCCATCAGATACACCATCGAGGAGAGCAGCGCCGTCAGCAGCGCGAGCACGCCCACGAGGCGGCCCACGCCGGGGCCTTGTGAGGCGGCGGCCTTGCCCTGCCGCGGGCGGTGCTGCTGCTGCTGCTGCTGCTGTTGTTGGCTCTTGGGCATGGTGGACGATGGCGGACGGTTCAGGGGTGTGTGTGTGTCGTTTGGTGGCACGACCGTGTAACGAACGCGGGGTGAAGGGAAGGAGGCCACAACAACCGTGTACGTGTGGTACAGATACGAGAGCAAGCTTCGCAGCTCTACAAAAGATGAAACAAAAAAGAGGTCAATTGAAAAAAGACGACCAGAATAAGAGCTTCGCCATTGGACGCGTCCCGATCCCTTGAGTTTAGGGAGAGAGACAAGTGAGCAGTTGGTTCTGCCGCGCCTCACCGCTCGGAGACTCGAGCTTCCGGATGGGCCCATCGGCTCCGTCCGCTCTGACAGCCCGCGGCGTCCGCTTCGGCCCGCCGCCCCGAGGCTCTCACACGGAGGGCAATCCGTCGTCATCCCCAAATGGCCGGCCCGAGATTCGCAGCTTGTGACACACGGGGCGCGCTCCCCTTGACGAGAACTTGAGTGACGAGAAATAAAATCTCATTGACCGCTCCTTGTACCGTACCGGGGCATCATCAATAACGCCCGAATCCTCTAGCCTACTTCGTAGCGTCCAGCTGTATTCTCGAGGCCCCTCCATCCGCAGCAACATCCATGGCGCTTTTCGCATCGCAATTGTCCCGCCGTACCTTTGTCCGTCCGAAACTCCGCCCCGCCCTCTTCTCGAACCCTTGGTCCTTCGTATTCGTACACTAGCGAACTCATCTTTCACATGTCCCGGCTTGTATCGGTCACTCCATGTCCGAGTCTCCCATGATCTCCGTCTTGTCGGGGTCGTCGTCGTCCAGCAGTGCCGTCTGGTCCACCTCGTCCACGTCCTCCATTGCAACGTCCCCATTCGCGTCGCCGTTGCTCGCTGCCAGTGGAGCAGCTCCAGCGCCCTTGACCTCGCCGTTTACAGCCTCGCCATTGAGCTTGCGCTTCTTGACCGGTGCCACGATACCGAGCTCCTGTTCGTGGCCTCTCCAGCGAGTCATGCGCCGCATCGATCGCCGGAGTGCAGCAGCGTAGGAGCTGACCTCCTCGCCATAGTCATCGTCTTCCGTGTTCAAGAGGGCCAGGCCGCCGATTCCCGTCTCCCGGAATGCGGTGGCCCCTTTCTCACCACGCAGGGGGAGGTTATGCGGGCCATCGTCATCGGCGTCGCTGTCCTCAAAGGGATCATCTTGAGCCTGCAGCCGCCTGTAAGCCCGAAAGATTGCGCCGTCCTGCCTGCGCACTTTGCGGCTCTTGTGGTGCCGCTTGCGCAGGCCGCGATCCAGGATATACTCGACTCGCTCGTTGCGGTTCCTTTCCACCGCCAGCTGATGAGCGGTGGGCGGGCGCGGCTTTCTGGCCACTACGCCCTCAGAACCGTGGCGGGCAGGCGAAGAGCCTTCGAAGATCTGATACTTAAGGGGAAGTCCTCGTCGGCCTGGGCCCCCACCTCTGCCGAGTGCGCGGGGAGGCGGCGTAGATCTGGTGCTGTCCATGTCGGATTCATGCTTGGAGGGCCTGATGCGAGGTAGAATGGCCGGTCCATCGTCGTTTAGATGTGCTCGCATCTTGCCACGCTTCGTTTCCCGCTCGTTGAGATAAGCCTGGTCGGCTTCCAGGATCTTGGCACGCGTCTTTTGCTTCTCCCGGCCAAACTCAATTTCCTCCTGCGTGTCGACGTTCTCCTTGGCCTTTTCCTCGTCTGACATCAGCTCCAGCTCGGGAACACCCTGGTTTGCAACGTCAAGCCCGTAGTCGACACCCGGACCGAACGGGTTCTCTTCGCAGCCCTCCTCTGTGAAGTCCGATTCGAGGTAGAACCACATGAGCCAAAGGAAAGCCCGGGCACGAGATGCACTGGAATATTTGGTCTTCATGATGAGGTCGTGGAACTCGTGGTCGTCTGGAAAGTGCAGCTCGGCAACCTTTTGTGCCCCACTGCACATGACGAAGATGAGGTTCACGGGATTTGTCCGCGGCGGGTCGTCGATCCGCTTGATCTTGTCAAGCGAGTTCGGCTCCTCCCTGTCCTCTGCTCCGCCCTTCAGAATCGACTTCAGTCTGGGCGCGTCCTGCAGCTGCTTGTAGGCGTGAGGGTCTTGGTGCGCCTGCAAGGAGGGAATCGCGTGATACGTGCGCAGTTGCGCGCGCATTTCAGGAAAGACTGACAATGTTAGACGGTGGTGGCAGGGGGCGACAGTGGTTACTCACAGTTCAGCGTAGTATTCATCCGGCCGACGTTGACGAGCAAACACACCATGGCCATGCCTTTGGCGGCCTCGCGATCACTAAGCAGCTTGTCGCGAAGCACCTTGCTCGTTTTGCTGCTTCGCGACATGGTGTCGATGTACAGGTCGGCAAAATTCTGCTTGCCGAGGCCATCGGGGTCGTATGAGTTGGTAAAGACTTTCTGCTCGTTGTCGAAGACGGCCTTGAGGAAGTCGTATTGAATGTCCTCTCGCCAGAGAGGCTCGCCGTCCTCCTTTTTGAGGTGCCTGATCTTGCCAATGTGTTGCTGGCCGTCCTTGTTTTGGGAGCCTTTGCCCCGGCCTCTAGCGGGCCGCTCGCCGACCTCGGGCGTGTCGGCCATCCGCGTGTCCTCGTCATCGGACGCCGCGCGCGAGACAAAGGACTTGCCTTCGTTGGCAGCCGGAGAGCTCGGAGGCTCAATGTCCGACGTCGCGGCGACCGAGCTCGGGGAGGCGGCCATTGTGTGTGTGTGTGTGTGTGTGTGTGTGGGCAGTGGGAGTCGGCGAGCAGAGGTCGCGCGCGCGAGGGAGGTGAGGCGATCGTGAGATTCGTCGTTGGCGTAGACGCGGGCGGTTAGTAGCGCATGATGGTGTCGGAGAAAGACGGTCTAGAGATGGTGCGAGGTCTCGGACGATGGAAGCCGCGGTCTGGCGATGCAGCCGGCGGAATTGGTGACTAGTTTTGAGGAAGGAAAGGATAACGAAGGAGGTGGTGACGCTTCAAAAAAGGCCTGGCTGAGGCGTTGGAGAGGATGCGCCTCACCCTGTGCAGGGAGAATGGAACCCCGATCCAATTGCTCCAGGTCCGCCCGTTCACTAGTGAGGCGATCAGGCGCTGGAGGCTCCAGCGCGGCGCAGCGACGGGCGCTGAGGGCGCTAGAACTTCGGGCGGACAGGGCCCTCAGCGCAGGTGTCCTCTGCTGGGCTGGAGCTCTGGTCGCTTCCAAGGTTCCCACCTCAGGTGCTGAGGCTCCGTGTGGCCCGTGCGCCCCATCCGAGTCGCCTGTCCTGCCGGTCGCCCAGCCCACCCGACGTCGCCTCGCGGAGGTGCATCGTGATTTGCTTCCTCCGCAAACGTCAACAAATCCGCCGTTCAAAGCGCCGTTCCCGCGGACGACGGCCACCTCGGCCAGCACGACAATTACTAACCCGCAGCACAGCGACAATAGAGCTACCCCCAGCACGGGATTGCCTGGCTCTTTCGACCTCCAGCGACGCGACACGACTGCCCTTTGACTCGACCCTGTGCAGGACGTGCCGTGCCATACCCCTGTCGCCGTTGTCCAGAACGAAGCGTCAGCAACAACACGCGGCTTGACCGCGCGCACCGCCCAGCAGGAAAGCCTCCCATCATGTCGACACCAGTCAAATCGACGCCGGTAAAGGCGGCGCTGCCCGAGACTGACAGCCCGGGCACGTGGCGGCACCCCAGGCTCAACGAGATTACGCGCCGACGGAATGCCACGACCTTTTCAGAAAAGAACTTGAGGCGGATAGGCTACAACATTGTCGCGCTGCTCGCCATGTGGTCGGTGCAATTGGTGGCGAGGCTGAATGTTGACCCTCAAAAGTACGACTATGCTCATCCTTGCCCGGGGCTGTGTCGCGTGCTGACTTTGCTGGTACCCAGCCTTCCCTACACGTTCCGCGCCTACCTGAGCTGGGCTTGGTTCGTGGTCCAACTCGTGCCGTGGGTGCAGATTGCCATGGCATGCCTGCCGCTCCTCCGTACGCCGGACGACATCACCGACATCCCGCTCACCGCAGCCCAACGAAAGCTGCTGGGCCTTCCCCCATCTTCCGCTCCGCCGACCCCCGACGCCAAGTTCAGCACGCCTCCGAGGTACTCGAGGACGCCCTCACTCGCGGGCTCAGTGGGAAGCAGAGCCAGCTACAACAGCTCCCCCTTGTCCGGAAGGGGATCGGTCGGGGGATCTCCCTCGCCGTACAACGGCCCCGGCAGCCCGTTGCTTTCAAAGAGCATGAGCGGGCTTGTCAACGGGCGGAGGTCTTCGTTCGGATCCGCGAGCCCGTTCGGAGCCAACTCGTCACCCAACTTGTTCAACGAGTCTCTTTCGCCTAGCTCACCTAGTCCGTCCGGTGGCAAGCGGACAAGCGTGGGACTCAACAGCAAGTGGTTATACGAGAAGGGAAGGCGGTCGTCTGGAAGTGCAAGACTCCACTAACAAAAGAGTTGTATAGCGGCCAAACACTGCAGGAACTGAGGGAAGGGGAAGCAAAGGCGCGAGAGCGAGGCTGCTTCGCATCTAGACTCGAAGAGTGGCAGGCCGCGGCGCAGAAGTTAATACCTGGTATATAGGCGTAACGGTCAAATTGCATCTAAGTATGATAATGATGATTGTACACAATGCACGGGATTTGTCTGGGCTTGGAGCATGTCGTTTCGTCCTTTGTCCGAGCTGGCGTCGATCCGGCGCGCTGGGCCCCAACAGCAAATGGCTGTCTCAGCTGGCTCGCTCGCTGGCCACAACCCGCTGGATAGTCGAACAGAGCAAAAAGACAAGTCTACAAGCATCCAACGACTATCGCCAAAAAAATGCAAAAAGAAAATTCCTTTTGCGTGAACCGGGACTCGAACCCGGGTCACATGCTTGGGAAGCATGTATGCTAACCTCTACACTATTCACGCGCTGGTGATGTAATCTGCCGCTTATTTGGGCTCATATGGGTGGATGTGCTGGCCTGGTCCACCCAGGGACGCTGGGGCCCCCGTTGACAGGGAATGGGGACCCTTGATCATGAAGAAGGAGTGCCAGGATGTGAATTGAAACTGAGAGAATCTGCGGCGCTCAGATTGGGAGGCGGGGAAAGGGGCAGTGTGAAGGCGGGCGCTCTCTGGTGAAGAATTTTGCACTGGAAAGACGCCGCTGTGCTGCTTTGGCTGTGCCGGCAACTTTGGCGGCCAGTTAGTCGCTGGCTTGGGGACTGCGCCGCAGCATGGGGTTGCGTCTTGCAAATGCAGTGGCACGCTCCTGTTTGCGAGAGGCGACCGGCTGAGAAGGAGCAAGGCATAGGCCTTCTGTGCACCACGTCTATGGGTCGTAACTCGAAGTGCCAAAGTCGACGTTTAAAGATCGGCAGCTTTTTCTGGCTTCGATTCTGAAATCTCGAAAGAGGCGACCCACAGAGCCCAGCGACCACACCCGGCCCCACAGGCTAGTAGCTCCAAGCCGGGCGGCCAGCGGGCAGCCTTTCCAACAACCCCTCCATCAGACGTCCAACAGCTTCGCTGGTGCTCCTCCATTCAGCTGTATAGTTACACCAGCTCCGACCCGACTCTCCCTCATCACGCCGCGCCCCCCTCTCCGCCGCCGGCACGCGCCTCGGGATCGACCCCCCTTGCCTTTCTCCTCTCTCGCCTACAGCAGCAGCAGCAGCAGCGGCAGCAGCAACGAAACCATGGCGAGCAAGGTCGACCGCATCGTCGCGCGGCTGCAGGAGAAGATCGCCGACGGCGACTTCTACGAGGCCCAGCAGCAGACGCGCGTCGCCGCCTCGCGCTACATCAAGACGAGCAACTGGCCCGCCGCCATCGACATCCTCGCCAGCGTCGCCCAGGCCCTGCTCCGCGCCGGCCAGGGCGGCAGCGGCGGCGACCTGTGCGTCATGCTCGTCGACGTCTACCGCCAGGCCGAGCTGAAGCCCGACGCCGCCGCGAAGGGCCGGCTGCTGACGTGCCTGCGCCTGTTCGAGGCTGGGGAGCCGACGAGGAAGAAGTTTGTCGGCGAGATGATTGGGTAAGCACGGATGGACCCCTTGGACCCTTCCTAGATGGATGGATAGGGCGCGCGAGGGGAGATATGGGAGAAGACGCTGAGCTGACTTTGGGTTTCTCACAGATGGTCTGCCAAGTTCGGCGAGTACCCCGCCGGCGACCCGGAGCTTCACCACGTCGCGGGATCGATATACGCCGAGGAGCACGACACGTACGAGGCGGAGCGGCACCTGCTGCTCGGCACCAAAGACTCCCCCGAGGTGCTATTGAAGATGGAGTACGCGTGGTACAAGGAGGGCGACGCCCACATGGCGCCGCACTTTGCCGCGCGCGCCATCCTCCCCTACCTGCTCGTGGGCAACGTCCGCGCCGCCAACACGTGCTACCGCCTCTTCACCAGCGCCCTCAGCAGCGACAGCCCCAACCTGGGCGTGCAAGACGTGTCGAGCGCGAGCTCCGACGTGCGCATCTTCCCCAGCCTGCCGCTGCTCAACTTCCTCGGCCTGCTGCTGCTGGCCATCCAGCGCGGCGCCCCCGAGGTGTACAAGGGCCTCGTCTCCAAGTACGCGACCCAGGTCAACGAGGCCGAGGTCTGGGCCGAGCCCCTCGAGATGATTGCCGAGATGTACTTTGGCATCCAGAAGCCGCGCCAGAGCAACCCCCTCATGGACATGATGAGCGGCTTCTTTGGCGGTGGCGGCGCGCCCCAGCAGCAGCCCCCGCGACGGGGTCTGCGCGGCGTAGATGCGCCCGCGCCGGCGGGGCTGGACTGATGTCGATATGAGATATGCATGTATGTAAAACATAGAGCAAATACACGCAGCGTGTGCTTCGTAACGGCCTGTCTCCGGAGCCTGCATGCTGTCCGGAGCTTGTGTGTTGTCGTTAGAGCATGTATGCTGTCATCGCAACCTGTATGTCGTCGTCAGGGCCGCTGCGGCCCTTCACCCGCGAGCCGGCTCCTCTGGCTCAAACATCCAATTGTCCTCTGCGAGGGCGCTGACCTTGGCGCGGAGATCTGCGCGGACCGCCTCGAGCAGCTCTTGCTCTCGTGTCAGCTATTGAAACACTCGAAGCACAGCAGAGGAACTCACCTTCGGGCTGATCGGGTACAGAGCTGTGGTTGACAGAGTGGTGCCTCACGGCGTCGGCCAAACGCTGTCTCTCCTCTGCAATTCATAGTCAGCACCCATCCACAAACATCGTCTCCCTCGCTCGCATGCGCGCAGAACCACGCGCCTTCGCGACGAAGGAGAAGGGGGAGCGGAGGGTCCACGCACTCTCAGCCTCCTGCCTATCCTCAGCCTGCTCGTCGTGCTCCTCGAGCACCGGCGTCGGCGGATCGCCCAGCTCAATCTCGCCCTGCTGGTTGCGCACGACAATCTCCGACGTGTCGGACAGGACGTCGACGTCGGCGGCGCCGCCGCCGCCAGGCACGCGCAGCGTCTCGGCCGAGGAGCCGCTCGCCACGCTCCCGCCGCCCGCGGCCGATGCGCCCGACGCGCCGGAGCCTGCTGCGCCCGTGGGGCGGCGCGTGAGCTGGCTGCGCAGGAAGTTGCTGTGGTGCAGCTGCTGGTGGTGCTGCTGGTGGATCGAGGAGGAGGTCATTCCGCTGGATTTGACGGCGCCGCGGGCGGCTCGCGGGGCGCCACCGCCGAGCTCCGGGCGGCGTGGGCGCTCGCTCATGCTGGAGGGGTTGGTGAGCCGAATGGAGCTTGCTGCAATCGGGAGTCTGGCTGTGGCGCGTGGAGAGCGATGCGTGGTGTAGTGAATGTGCAAGGTAGGTAGCAGATGTGGTGATGCAGTGTTTACTTTGGAGCTGGATGGAGGGGTTGATCACTTGGGAGCTGTTGGCGGGGCGCGTGCGACTGGAACCTGCAACGGGCCCTCCCGCACCACTAGCACGACTTCGGACCTCCGAGTGGACATGGAATTGCACAGCGTGGTCGCCCATTTGATGGTAGAATCACTCCATAAACAGATAATATTCCGTCCCATGTGATCATCGCGTGGGATCGGGCGAAAGTTGCGAGAAGCCCCTCATGGAACCGTGCCGTCCGCTCGTCCACGACAGGCGTATTGAAACAGTTGAAGCTTGCTATGAAACCAATCTCGACGCCAAACATCCCACAAATGCAGGCAGTACTTATGCCGCTCGTTGTACACATCCTCTTGCCCCCTCTCTGGTGCCTCCCGGTTGCCGGCTCCGCGCATTACTGGCCGTCGACTGAATTGCGCTCGTGTCTTTCTCGGCGTACATCTTATATCGACAGGTTGTACGAATACTCGTCCTCCATATTCTGGCTCACCCAGAGGACCACAGAGCTGCTCATGTCAGTCACATGTCGGCCTTGAAGGTAGCGAGCGCAAGACATACCTGAACCCAACGAGCGCGTTGCTGACGATGTTCTCGATGCCCATGCCCAGCGCCGGCATTTCCACGCCCGGGACCACAAACTTGAGCACAAAGACGGTGACGCCGCCGGCCATGCCGCCAGCAAGGGCCGCGAATCCAAGGAAGAGAACGACGCGGGCCTTCCAGGCGACGCCGGAGCCGCTGTAGCTGAAGGAGTCGGCGCTGAGGCGCTGCTTCTCGACCGAGTTGATGATGAGCATGCCCAGGCTGGAGAAGACCAGGGGCAGCCAGTCGACGAACTTGACGTGGACGCTGGAGCCGTTGCGGGCCGACTTGGACCAAACGGCCGAGTCGAGCATGACGTAGAAGGCGAGCGAGTACTGTGGCCGGGCGTTAGCAGGACTGCATTTCATGTAGCGCGCATCGGACAGCCCCGGGCATGGAGGGCCCAGCGACGCCGACGAGATCAAGTCAATGGGCACAATGGAAAGGTCGGTCCGACGTACCAGAGCTCCGGCGCTGTAGACGCCGGCATTGCGCGCCCAGGCGCTGTTCAGCCACTCGGGCTTTCTAAACTTCCAGAGACGTTCCTCCTCCATGTCGGGCGGGTGAGCTTCCGGGTGCGCGAGGGAGTATCCGGGGGACAGGGTGCGGCCGGGGGACGGGGGGTCGCGGCGTTGTAGGGGCGGGCTGGTCGTCGATGAAGCGGTCGGACGTAGGTCGGGATGCTGATGCTCCCGCAAGCGCCTGGAGGCTAGAGGGATGACGAGGCTCAGGCGGCGACGGCGGCTGGGCGGGAGTGGAGCGGAGTGGGCGGCGCGTCACGTGCCCGCAGTAGGTCGGTCAACCGTCCCCGTGTGGTCTCCCCCGCCTGGGCGTGTCCAACACTCAAGGAACACTGCAGCGCACCTCAGAGTGTGGCGGGGGGGCATTGCCAGCCACAAATGCCACCGCCGCCCGACGGCATTCAACTCGCCGTGATGCTCCAAACTCAGATGCCTTGTACGACGTGCATGGGCAAAGTTATTTCGCTCGTCCCACGAGGTCCCTGCCTTAGGCCTCCCGTTCCCGACATAGTGTCTGAACGGCCGGTCCCCCGCAACGGTCGCGGTGCACGGCGTGAACGCGCCGCCCGCAGGGCCTCGTTTTTCGGGGCAGTCAATCAGTCAGTCAGGCCTTTGTGTGAGTGAAAGGGTCGGGTGTCAGTGCAGCCGAGGCGTGCGACGCAGTGCAGCTCGCACAAAGTTAAAGTGCATCCGTCGACAAGAGCCAATCTGCATTGGATGCGCTCCCAAAGGCAGCGGCGGGCCCATGGAATTCCTCGTTCTTGCAGTGCGGGCCTGCAGGGCGACGATGCAGCCGGGTTAGGTGACGTCAAAACGCATTCCTGGCACGTCGTATCGCAGCAACACGGGGCGGGAACCGGCAGGGCGGCTTGCTTTGTTTACTGTTGACGTCCATTGCCCAGGTGGCCCGATTGCGGCGTGCGAACGGGGACAATGCAGAGGTTCGTCGAGTTCGCAGATTTGCGTGTCGACATGTGGACGGCGTTGCGACGAGCAGTGGGTACATTTTTAGGTGGCCGGCGCAGTGCGAGGCAATCGCGAGGGCATTCGCTGCTGCTGCGGGACGGACGGACGTGTTGGCTGCGGCTCACCGTCGCCGAGACATATGCCATTAATAGGTCCATCTCGGACCGTCCACGCCCCCTCCGACTGTCCCAACAAATGGCCGAGCAACAAAGAGCAGCCGTCGGCCAAAAGAAACGCACGCCGTCTGCCAGGCTGTTCTGCGCAGCAGGTCTCACACCTCACCTCACCTCTCTGCATTGCATTGCGCTGCGCAGTGAGCGAGCTGATGAGGTGGCGTCCGCAAGGTTGGGCCCAGCAGCCATCCGGCAGCGCCCGCGTGGTGCGCAACGCACCGCCCAGCAGCACAATGGGGCCCTCCAGGGCGCCTGAACCCGTATTGCCTCTAGCGCCTGCTCGCCCCTGAACCGGCGCAGACGTGATGCGCCCTCGACGGTTGTTAGCGCGGAGGGGGGGCGCACTCGTTGGCGCTCGCGCACTCGTCGATGGGAGGAGGGCGATGGGCTGCAATGGGGCCGAAGCATGGAAGCCGCTGCAGCTTGCCCTGGAGAACCTTATGGACTGCCCTGCCCTGCCCAGCCCGGCCCAGCCCAGAGGAGGTCGTCCCATCCACCTCATCCATTCCCATTGATGCAATTTTTCTGCGGCTGCCGCAGGGACTGTAGCGTCTTGGTAGGGACCCGTCGAGGCCCCCCGGACCCCCCAAGCTGCCCGTCCCGGGTGCCTGCGCACGTCGCTCTGCGCCTGCGTCGCCCCCAAGTCGCTGCCCGCCGCACCGCAGCCCAGCTCAGCGCTCCTCCACCCCCCGTCCCATCTCGTCCCGCCCGTCGCGACAAATTGCTTTCTTCTCCCCGTTCATCTCTCCCCCCCGTCGCCAGCCATGTCTTCGCTCGGCCTGTAGCGCCTTGTCAACCAGCTCCCGGCCGCATCCTTTCTTTTTTGCATCTGCATTCCCTCTTATAATTTCTCTCGTTCACCTTCGTCTCCCGCTCTTAGCCGACGCCGTCCACGTTGCCGCCGTCCGCCGAATCGTCGCCCGACCGTCTCGTGCCAGCCTCACCCGCCATCCCTTTCGCACCTCCAAGCTGGGGCCCCTCCCCCGTCGATTCGACGTCGAGCGCAAGGAACGGCCCAGCGCGCCCACCGACATCTAGCGGAAACAGGGCCTCTCTTCATCATTCGAGTGCATCCTTTTCTGCACGCCAGCGACACATCCCCAGCCCAGGATGAGACCGACAAAGTACCTGCCGGGGCCTTCGCTCCTGCTGACGACGCTCGGCTCCCTCGCCCTCTTCTCGTCGCCCGTCCTCGCCCAAGACGACAAAGCTACCGACGACAAGAAAACTACGCCCGCCGATAACAAGTCGACGCCCACTCCCAGCCCGAGCGCCAAGACAACCCCTTCTGCGACGCCCAAAGACTCGCCCACAACCGACAAGTCGACGCCGTCGGCCAAATCCACCCCTTCACCGACCCCCGATGAGAAGCAGTCCTCGTCCAGCACCATCAGTACTGCCTCGTCGGTCACTTCGCAGCCGACTAGCCAGTCCACCATTACCAGTGGCTCCTCGGTGACCAAGGGCGAGGAGCTTACCGGCTTCCCGACGCTGACAGGGCCAGGCGGCATCCCCACGTATCCTGCCCCGTCCGTGCCGCCCACCAAGAATGCCCCCTTCATGCAGCAGTCGAGTATGCCCGATGGCAGCGTCTTCATCATCGTCGGATCCATCCTCGGAGCCTTTGGCCTTGCCATCCTGCTGTGGCGCGGCATTGTTAGCCTCCTCCTCCACCGATCCGTCGAACGCGCTGCCAAGGCACAGCACGACGCCAACGCCAAAGCCGGATTCCCCGCGCCTCCCGCCCCGTTCTATAAGTACACCGATCAAGGATCGACGATGTCGCTGGGCGGAGGCGGAGCCGCTGCGGCCGGCCGCGGTGTTCGACGAACCAACCGTGGACCCGTCCCTTCGTCGACTCCGAGCCACTCGAACCTGTTCTTCTCCCCCACGGCCGCCAACAACGGCAGCGCTGGGAATCGTGGCTCCGCTTTCCTCCCGTCTGGCTTCTACGCATCCAATTCTCCGAACGCTCCTCCCAATCAGACCAATAGTATCAGCCTGAACAACCTCCGGCCCGATTCGCGTGGCCACTACGCCAATGTCTCCCGCAACACCCTCGGACCCTCGCCCCCCGACTCGCCTCAGTATGCGCCGCGGAGGGACGTCAGCGGCATGAGCACCAGCTCCGTCAACCTAAGCTCCCCCCCTGCCGGCCAACGAGCACCCAGCGCCTACCTCGAGGACCTCCTGGCCGACGATCCCAACGCCTTCCCGCCGCCGCAGATGCCCCCCTCGACGGGGCCCAGAAACTCGCTGGGAGGAGGAAGAACAAACAGCCCATTGAGCCGATTCTGAAGGATGTCTCAGAGGAGGTGTGCGCGTCTCAGACTTCATAGTGGCGTTCTTTGGGTTACGTCTGATTTAAATCCCCGCGGATTCTGCGAGCCATCACAACGGGCGTTTTAACGGATTGGATTTGCTTCTTCACATTTGCCAAACGACTTTACAGCCGGAACGACTTAACTGCGGCGTCACGCTTTAATGCCCTTTCGAGGCGTCGTGTTGCGTACAGAGGCCCCCGCGCGAGGGTGACATACCGGGGAGGCGCAGTATCAAGGCAACAGGAACGAACATATTGCTGGCCGGAGGCGATTGAAGGACGAGCAGGAGCAGGAGCAGGAGCGGGAGCAGGAGGGGAGCAGCAGCAGCTGTACGACTGTGGTCGCGTGCCGCGTGGCGGGAGGCCCTGCATGGGATTAGATTGGGGAGTCGGTCGGTCGGCATGTGCATGCGTCGCGTATCATGGGATTTGCCTTTTTTGTTTGCACGCTCCTTCCAGCCGTATATACGTATCTTTTGCCAATCAGTAATTGTCAATATCTGTCACCGCGCAGGATGCGATGCCGTGCAATTTACAAGCGTGGTGCTCGACCGGTCACGAACTTCAGAGCATTCAAGTGTCCAACTGACGCCAAGCAGGTACAAGGTGCAAAGTACGAGTAACGTCATTAAAAGGCCATTAAGCTGATGATATTGCCGGCGCTCGGTTCATGCCGAGTCTATCGTGCCATGAGATGCTACTAAATATGGTATCCAACAAACGTCAATGCTAGCTGTGTCAATGCAACGCCGCCGCCGCCGCCTTCGTCAATGCGAACGGCATGCCGAGGTTGTATCCGATTCCTCCTCATGTGCCCGCCCTGCAGTATGGCATGGTCGCCCAGACTCCTCCTCTAGACGTACATCTCGTGAACAACGCAACCATGGTCAATTTTGTTTTTGGGAGACGCAAATTACTTCGCGCCGCTCGGCCCCGCCGCGCCCGTGTCCAGTTCGAGGAGGCCCTCCCTCGCGCCCTGGATGTCCTCGGCCCGGATGCCGCTCCTGTCGCACATGCCCCTGAAGATGCCGCCCTTGTCCCACAGCGCGGCGGGGGTGTCCAGCTCGGCGATCTGCCCGGCGTCCATGACGCAGATGCGGTCGTAGCCGATGATTGTGCGCAGCCGGTGGGCGATGCACAGGAGCGTCTTGCCGCGGAAACCCGTGGCCATGGTGCGCTGGATCTTGTCGTCCGTCTCCATGTCGACGCTCGACGTCGCCTCGTCGCACACGATGATTTGTGAGCCGCGCACCAAGGCACGGGCCAGGGCCATGAGTTGGCGCTGGCCTAGCGAGAAGTTGAGCCCGTCCTCCTCAACGATAGAGTCGAGGTGGATGCGAGACGGGTCTGTCTTACGGTCCTCGAAAGACGCATCCGCGGGGATCAGGTCTGCTTGTCGTAAAGCAGACCAGAGCTCCAAGTCGGTGTGCTCACCGAAAGGATCGAGATTGCTCCGAACAGTGCCGTGGAACAGTGTTGGGTCTTGCGGGATGATGGCAAGCCGGGAGCGCAAGTCGTACAGCCCGATCGTGGAGATGTTAACGCCGTCAATGGTGATGGACCCTGACGAGATTTCGACAAGGCGGAAGAGCGTGCTCATGATGGAGCTCTTGCCGGCACCCGTGCGACCTACGATGCCGATTCGCTCGCCCCCTCTGACGTGCATGGACAGGCCCTGTAGAACCAGAGGCAAGTTCTCCCGATATCGCATCTCGACGTTGTTGAAGACAATCTCGCCCTTCTCAGGCCACGTCTCTCGCACGTCGACAGTATGCAACGGCGCTTCCTCCTCTAGCTGCGTACCGTAGTAGCGGAGGCGCTCAACCGCGTTCATGCCGTTCTCTACCTCGGCAAGCTGTCGAATGGCGAATTGCAGCATCTGAACAATGGCCAGGATGTAGCTGAGCACGAGGCCGCCGATCGACGGGTTGACACTGAAGCGAGACGTGACCACCAGGATTCCGACTGTGAAGACAAGGGCGTTGCCAATCATGTCGAGGCGGATGGACAGCCACCGCTGGTTCGAGAAAGTGAGGTAATACGCCCCGTTCATCTCGTCGATGGCGGCCCGCAGCTCGTTGACAAATCGCGTTTTGAGTCCGTATGCTCGGATAGATGCCACGCCGCTGAGGCCTTCGCCGAACTTGGCAAAGACATGAGACCGCAGGACGGACTCGAATCGCTTCACCTCACGTGCCGACGCTCTATAGTACGAGGCAGCGAGGATGAAGAGGCAGTAGAGTGGCACCAGAGCGATGGCGAAGTAGTGGAAGAAGGCAATGATGAGCGCAAATACGGCGCTTACCATGGCCAGTGTGAAGAAGTACATGCGGATCGCATCCGTCAGGTTGTTGTCCATAACATCCACGTCGCGCGAGAAGCGGTTCGTGATGCGGCCGAGAGGGGTGGTGTCGAAAAAGGACATCGGGGCCCGGAGAACGCGAGTGACGGCATCGCGGAGCATGACCTTGGAGGAGTTGGTCCCCAATATGGACAGCAGGACGGAGAAGAGGAACATGAGGATTGCCTGGAAGGCTCCAAGACCCGCATAAATGCCAATATACTGCCCTGTAGACAGGCCAAATTTGTCGGAAGTCCAGTACGACAGCCAGAGACTCGTCATGATGTTCGCTCCTTGCGAAAGAATAAGGACGAAGATGACGAGGGGGGCGTTGAACATGGACCCTGAGGCTCGCACATAGGCGCCGTAGACGGACCACGGGACGCTTGCTTGTGCCTTCTCCTCCTGCTGCATCAGCGCCGCCCCCTTTTTGTTCTTCTTGTTCTTCTTCTTTTCTGCTTCGGCGTCCACGACAGGGGTGTCTTGCTTCTCTGCTCGCTCTTCCTGCTCCTCGACTGCTGTCGTCTCCATGAGGGTCCGGAAGCCGCTTTGGTCGCGCATGAGGTTGTCGAAGGTATCAACGGCTTGGATCTTGCCGGCGTCCATCCATACAATGCGATCGCAGCGCGAAAGCACCCAGAGCTGGTGGGTGGCGAGGATGCGGCACTTGTCCTTGAGCAGCCCGAGGATTGCATTGTCGAAGATGTGTCGACCCACATGGGCATCGACAGCGCTGAGGGGGTCGTCCATCAGAACGACGTCCGCATCGAAATAGATGGCGCGGGCAATGTTCAGTCGCTGCTTCTGTCCTCCTGAGATGGTGATGCCGCGTTCTCCAATCTCGGTCTGGTCTCCATTTGGCAACATGTCGAGGTCGGATTGAAGAGCACATCTGTGAGCTGTCAGTGAAGGCCTTGGGGTGGGTAAAACGCTGTGGCTTACGCTTGGATGACTTCTTTGTACCAGTCCCGGTCCATTTCCTTGCCGAAAGTGATGTTGTTCTGCAGCGATGTATTTTGAATCCAGGCGTACTGGGGGCAAAACGCTCGCGACGCGCCGAAGACGACATCACCGCTCGTCTTGCGCATGTCACCGGCCAGAGCGGCGAGCAGAGAGCTCTTGCCACTGCCGACTGTGCCGATGACAGCAATAAGCTCGTTACGACCTGCCCGCAAGTTCAGGTCGTGCAGCTTGAACGGTTCTCGCTCCTCAACTAGGGTGCTGGCCGTGTCCTCTCCAGATGAGGCTGGGCGATGGCCCTCCTGCGGCTTGCCTGCCTTGGGGGCAGTCGGCTTCTTGTCTTTGCCAATGCTGCCCTTGTCAGGGTCCTGCGTTGGGGTTCTCTCCCATGTGAAGGAGGCATCGTGCAGCTCAATCGCACTCTCGCCGTCTGGCCTATGGATCACATCCTCCTCTTGTTCTTCCTCCATGAGAAACTCTTCGATTCTCTTCAGAGACGACCAGGCGTCGGTCACCTGGCCAAGAACCAGAGGCAACAGGTTGAGCGGGATACGAAGGCCGTTGAATAGCGCGAGCGACGAGAAGACCTGAGCCGGAGCAAGGTTGTGATTCGACAAGGAGTAGGCGATGAACGAAAGCATCGACGCGAAAATGGGCAAGGACATGCTCACGGCGTTGATGGCATTGCGAATGGCCAGGAGGATCTGGATAGCATGGATCTCCTTGGACCGAAACTCGCCCAGCCGCCCGATGAATGCCTTTTCCCAGCCAAAGTACTTGACGAAACGGACTGACTGCAGGATTTCCTGGGTGAGAGACACTCGCTGATCGGTGATCTTATTGATGTTCTTGCGGCGCCGGAACAGACTTCGTATGGCGCGCGTCAAGGCGGGCACGCCGATGACCAGCAACCCAAAGCCGGCGAGTGCGCTGTACGTCAAGTTGATAAGGAGGAGAATCAGGGTGATCAGGCAGGCAATGGGTGATGTCCAGATCATGTGGAAGAGGGCGGAGGCTTGGTCGACGCGGTAGGTATCGACACTCATGAGGTTGACGATGCGGCCGTTGGCCCAACCCAGGCCATCCTGTGGGTTCTTGCCCTTGTCTTTTTTGTCCTTTTTGCCCTTTTTCGTCTTGGATTTGCCAGCGTTGGCTGCTGGAGTAGAGCCCTCATTCTCCTTCTCCTTCTCGTCCGTCTCGTCCGTCTCGGGCATCAGGGTTTCGCGAACACCGCCGGCCTTGGCCCTGCCCGAGATGACCATGGCCTTTTCGTAGATCAATCCGATGAGGACGCCGCGACTCTGGCCACCCAGCATCATGCCGCGGTAAATGAAGTGGCTAATGCAGAAACTTTGGATGATCTGCATGAGGGTGATGCCAATGACCAACCCGATTCCGTGGCCGATGGGCGGCGCCGGCCCATTGGATACATTGGCAACCCAGGCGTCCGTCGCGAACTGGATGAGAAAGCGCAGGGTAAAAGGCGAGATGACTTGCAGGACGGTGCCCAGCACGGCGCAGAAACCGCCGAGCCAGAACTCGAAGCGAAAACTCTCATGCAGGGCCCAGAAGAGAGGATTGTTCTGGCCGTTTTTGACGCGACGCTGAAAAGCTTCCTTGACGCTTACTGTAAGAGGCTCGACCGCACGGTTGGGGTTGACGGTCCAGATGTCGCCTTGTTCTAGCTGGCGCTTATACCCCGTCTGTCAAATAGACAATCAGCCAGTCAGCGAAGTTGCGCTCTCACGAACGCGCCCCATTGGTAGCATGCAGATCTCGGGTATCTGGCTTCAGAGGGTCGACTTACCGACATGAGTGGTGTCATCCACTGAAACGTCAACTTGCTGAAGAAGCCGGCCTGGTACTCGCGCGACACGAGGCGCTCGTCGGGGACTTTGGGGATGCCGCCCCAGCGCAACGGGTTCGTCCTCTTGTACCACGGCTTGTGAACGTTCTGGGCGGCAGCCGCAGTGGCGGCCGTCGCGGCGCTCGCATCGGTCGCATAGCTCTTGGTCAGGTTGAGTTCGTTGGGTCGGCTTCGGCCGCCGATGTCCTCGGGGCCCTTTTCGATTTTTTCATCATCACCGCTGCTGGCTTCAGCACCAGTTATCGGCGGACTGCTTGTAGTCGGCTCAGGGCGCGTGTGCTGGCTGTCGTTGGAAATGGTGGGCTGCACGGCGGCGGCGAGGGCATCTGGCGCCTTGAGCTCGAGGTCCGTCTTCTCAGACGGGTCCGCCATGATCGCCGAGAGGCCTGCGCCGTGCGACGAGACCGGTTCTCAGGGCGGCGGACGGACGGCTGAGTTGCCGTCTCGAGCCTGTCACTGAAGTTGCGAACTTGCGATGGCGAAAACGGATGGGGGGCCGTCGCTGCTGTTATAGCGCGAACGATAGCCTCAGGTATGGGCTAGTACGGCATCAAAACGTACGGGCCTCGAGTGTGGTGTGCTCGGAGGCTCGTAGCGCCAAAAGTGTGGAGAGGCAGCGGCCGATTGCTGGACGGACCAAAGAACGGGCTTCCGATGCTAATCAAGACTCCGGCGTCGGGTGTGCGTATAATAAACGCTCGATTCATTCGGGTGAGGCACTGACCGATGGAGAAGAAACAGAGGATCGATCCTTGGATGAGATGAAGCTCGATGAGCAGCGCGACAACAAGCGACGACTTGCAAGTGTTGAGGCAGGCACAAACGCATGGCTCCTTCCCCGGGCCGTCGGGGCAGACAACAGCCTTTTTCAGTCGGCAATCATCAGTGCTCCGTATCGATCCATCAGGACTTCGCATCCCAAATCCGCCCCTCTAAAAACGCCAAACTTGCTTCGCTCCTCCAAACTCCATTCAGAGCTTCCCGCTGCCGCGCGGGGCCCAGGCCAGCCAGGGCTCCGAGCGAGCTGCACTGCGTTTGCTGGGGCTAGCACGAGGCGAGCAGGTCGATGGACTGTCGGCCCCCGGCACCAGACATTGTCCGACGCTCGCATTACCAGTCCAATCCACCCCAGACACCGCTTCCCGGGCACCCATCCCGGGCATCCAGGGCGCCCGCTCTTGGAGCGCCGTCCAGCACGAGGTACGAAGTACAGTACTGCACATCTGCGGAGTACATGGCAGCAGTGTCGGGTCCCTGCCCAACAACTCACATCGGTGCGCGACGACGCCATGCACCCTGCCTATTGCCGACTGCGCGAGTACATGGACAATACAGGAGGAGCCAAGGGCACACACTTTGTACATACAGTACTGTACAGTACAGTACTGCACTCGACCATCACACTTCACTCACTGACAGCTCACAGCACCAGCAGCCCCCGGGCATCCAGGACAGGGCTCCGATGGCGCGGAGATTCAGCTCCAGACGAGCCAACAGCGGTGACAGCGGATGTCGTACCCGGCCCGACTCAACTTTTCCATCTTGTTGCTTAGAAAGCACGCGACCTCGATGCGCGCGCGACGCCACGCAACCACCGTGACTCCAGCTGCACTCCGGAGACCGTTCGCCGTGGCGTCCTGCCTGTGCAGAATCAGAAAGACACCAACGGGAAAACTGGGCCAGGCCTAACGGGCCAAGCGGCAACGGGATTCGTTTGGCCCTGATGATTCATTAAACGAATCCCGGATTGACTGCGCTCGCCGCCCTCGATTTGCCGTCGGTTGCGCCGCGTGAGGAGCAGGACAATCGGCGACCACCGTACGCCAAAATCGTGCTGCGCGGAGCTGGGCTGGTGTTCACCCCGGCAAATCGACAACTTACCAACAGACGCTCTGTCAGGTCATGAATGACGACGACCTTTGCAACCGAGGGCGAGGGCCAACAGTGACATCGTCCCCGCCGACCTGGAAAGCATCCTAGCGTCGAAAGGCTTGCCGGATCGGAGCCGAGGGAGGGGTCCAGGACGGGGCCACCCAAGCGGAGATAGCGCCTGGATTTAAGCGTCGTCGCGCGAGCATCACGTGCATCGTCACGCACGAGTCTTGAATGAGTAAGCAGCTGTCTGGTCCAAGGAGTCTGCGAGTCGATGGGACAGCCCCGCTGCTATCGATAACAACTAGGAAATTCTAGGAAGCTTCCTCTGCCAACGCTCGAGGTCAACCTGATACCGAATTCATGCGCCCAATCACCCGCCATGGCTGCCGATGACGTTCCTGCCGTCGCCGTACCCGGCAAAATCATCGGGCCTGTGAGCAAGTATGCCTCGGGCCCCGGCACACACATCCACGACGGCAACGTGGTGTCGTCGCTCATGGGCAAGGTCACCATCACTCCTCCGGCAAAGGCTCCCGGCCCCGCGAAGCGGCTGAACAAGATCACCGCCGCCGATCCCGAGGAATTAGCGACGGTCTCCGTGTCGCGGCACGGAAAGAAGCGCGAGATCCTGCCGGACGTGGGCAACGTGGTGCTGGCGCGTGTGGTGCGCCTGATGCCCAAGCAGGCCATCGTGGTGATCCAGCAGGTCGGCGATACAGTTCTGCAGACGGAGTGGCAGGGCGTTATTCGCGTGCAGGATGTGCGCGCGACAGAGAAGGACAAGGTCAAGATCTACGAGTCGTTCAAGCCCGGCGACATTGTCCGGGCATCGGTGGTGAGCACTCTGCCGGCTCGTTGTTGACGTTTGCCGCGATACTGACGTGTCGGAACTAGATATCGTTGGGTGACCAAGCCAACTACTACCTCTCGACAGCGTCCAATGAGCTCGGTGTCATCATGGCGACAAGCGAGGCCGGCAACGACATGGTGCCCGTCAGTTGGAAGGAGTACAAGGACCCCGAGACAGGCGCCAGCGAGCCGAGGAAGGTTGCAAAGCCTACCTGAGAGGCGAGGCCGGCCTCAAAAACACAATTGCGGGCAGCACACGAAGGCAGCCTTGGCGCAGTTCTCGACCAGATGCCGAGCAGAGGGGAGACCGGACTGTGGGGTGTGCTCGGTGACGGATCACAGCCGCCTTCCGAGCTCTGTGCGCGACAATAGCGAAGTGGGCTGTACCGCGCACCCTCATCGGAATGGAGAGGCGGAACGGCGCGCATGAGGGTATCGGTTACGTGCTGGGTGCGCAGGCTGCCACAAGCATTGCTCCAGCTGCATCGCTTACCGCCGCACACTCCTGGCACATCTCCAAGGAAGGGCGGATAACAAAGGCAATGGCAGCTGGCAGCCTCGCCAGCTTGGTCGTCCGCTCGTGCTGACACGGAGTAAAGCAGCCTGCCTTTTTTTTTTTTTTTTTTTTTTTTTTTTTTTTTTTTTTTTTGCTAGAACATTGCTAGAATAGATACCCTTGCCTGCAATCGGGCACGCATCACCTGCGACGTGCATTTGTTTGTTGCTGCTCCCGGTACGTAGTGAGACGAGGCAGGGGGTCCGAACCTGATCGTGAAACGGATCGAGGCAGCGCCCGGTCTGCCGAGCCTGGCGTTGGCCGTGCGTTAGTTATCCTCCCCAGCCGTGGTATTCGGTGCATACATAGTATCACTATCTAGAATGTGCAGAGCATTTTACGTTGTCCGTAGAGGACTGTGTTGTGCTGCGAAACCGCTGTCTGATTACCGTCTCAATTGTCATGTCTCGATCCATTCTTGGCGGTGCGCAGCTGAGCAGTCACATGGCATTCCATGCATCCATCCGCTCAGTGGTGTCACCACAACCCAGTGGACAGCCAGCTCAGCAGCGACTCGAGTCCGCCAGGGGGGGATTGGGGGGCAGGGAGGGGCGCGCCCGCCCCGGCGGGATCGACCCGCAGCGGCTGCAAACCCTCTTTTAGGTTCCAGGTTGTCTTTTTTGTTTGCTCCCTCCCCCAATCCCACCACACCCGCGCGCGTGTCCGCCCCCTGCCTGGTAAGCATAAGCAGCGTTGCCCTGACGTGCCGGCGGGGGCGGGCGGGCGCTGGCAGTGGCTGAGAGATGGCAGGCGAGGCAGGCACCGCAGGGCAAGGGGCAAGGATGCAACGCATGGAGTCATGTACCACCACCAGCTGCAGCTGCGACAGGCGCCCGAAATAATAATTCCTGCCTTATGTAGCGACACCACCTCATGTGACGGTCCCTTTTTTGGCCGACTGACTGGCTGCCTGACTGCGCACCTCGGCTCCTGTGTTCGTTTCTTCACACCTTGACATCGTTCGCGCCAGAACAACATTCGCTCGCTGTTCAATGAGTCGTCGACTCCTTCCTTACTCCTTAAGGAGAGGCTGAGTCGCAGGTCGCAGGCGCACCTTCAGAACAGTTCTGCGACAGGCAGACCTACCGAGCACACGCGCGCACGCGCACACGCCAAGGGACTGTCCGCTCCCTTTTCTAGCCGAACCAGCCATCCCAGCTCCACGTACTTCGTACGGCGCACAACAATAAGACGGGGAGCTGTCTGCTGCTGCGGCCCAATCCTGACAGACGGCGGCTCCCGCGCTCAACGCACGCCCGACGAACGTCTTCTTCATTTCATCTTCTTCTCGTCCTCTGGCAGCAGATTCCTACGCCATGACGGCAGCGACGGCTACCATGGCACCGGCCGCGACGACGACGGCGGCGGCCCCGGCGTGCTGCCCGAGCTGCGGCTTCGACATTGGCGCCGGGAACAGCAGCAGCAGTACCAGCGACGCCGCGCAACAGGAGGACCTGCTCGCCGCCCAGGCGCGCATCCAGGAGCTCGAGTCGCATGTCCGCCAGCTGAACCAGAAGGCTACCGCGGCGGTCGAGCGCTGGGCTGGGTACGAGGCAGAGCTGGCGAAGCTGCGCTCTCAGCAACAACGACAACAGCAGCAGCAACAACAGCAGCGTGCGACACCCGCGCCTCTCGCCCTTCCCGGTCCGGCCACGACATCGGCGTCACCCCCCGGCGCCGCGGTAGTCAGTCCCACGCGCACCTCCTTCCTGCAGTCCGCACCAGGCCGGCTCTCCGCGCTGCTCTACCCGCGCAAGTCAACGCCCAACCTCCGCGGCGGCGACGTAACTCCCGGTCCCGGCTCCCCCACTACCGCCACACCGACGAGCGGCGGCACGACGACTACGGTCGCTTCGACGACGGAGGGCCTGCTCGAGGCGCTGACGCGGGAGCAGGCGCTGCGGCGCGAGGCCGAGGGCCGCCTCAGCGCCACGAGCCGCGAGGTCGAGGAGCTGAGCGTGAGCCTCTTCGAGCAAGCCAACGAGATGGTGGCCGAGGAGCGGCGCGCGCGCGCGCGCCTCGAGGAGCGCGTCGGGGAGCTGGAGCGCCGCGACGCGGAGAAGCGGAGGCGCCTCGAGAGGCTGGAGGGCGCCATGGGACGCATCGAGCGAGTTAGGAACCTCTTGCAGGAGAGCGGCGACGGGCCGTCATGAATTACTCTCGTTTGAAGAGGGGGCCTGCTTTCGTCCATCGCTGGACAGGATGTTAAAAGGAAAGGGGAAAGCAAAAGGGATGGGGCAGAATGGCTGTTACGAGATCATGAATATCGGTTTTCGCGATGGGCACCCTGATATGGGCTCGAGGCGGCAGATACCAACGAGGCACGTATGGGAGACTGGGACTATTAGAAGCATGACGGGGTTTGGTTATAATGGGCATGATACCACGATACACGAGAACAGCAATGATTTTACTGAACTATCTGCAAGGAGTCTCCTCAAGGCATGGCTTGCCGCCAACCTGTGACACCCTGAACAAGAGCCAGTCAATACCATCGTGAACGTGTGTTGTCCAGTGCCTGTACCGATGGACACAGCTATGCAATGCGTCACCCACGTTGCGCCGCGACGCATACGCGCTCCAATGTATCCATCGAGAGCGGCAGGTTCAGCTCAAAAGCAAAGAAAAGACAATATGGGCTCCAAGGCCCTGCCACCAACGCCTGCTGCTGCCTTTGCCAATTCCCCCGAACCTCATCAGGGTCCCTTCTCAAACGCCATGCCAGAGTGTAGTATATCCTTTTTGCTTCGGGCCTCAGCGCCGCCGTCCTTGGGCTGCGTGAGACACCGCGTGTTTCCTTTGGGATTCGCCATTAGTCCTCGATGCCGTTCCAGGACTTTTCGTCGTCGGACGACCGCGCCTGGCTGGCGCTGGCCAGGAGGTCCGGCTTGGCGGCGTCCGGGCTGGCCGGCAGGGCGGTGACCTTGCGCGGCGAGGTGGGCGCCTCTTCGTCCGCCGGGGAGCGCTTCCGCTTGTCCGAGGTGCCGTTCGTCATGGGAGGTTCGGCCTTGGTCGAGAAGGCGTGCTTCTGGCCAGCCTTCTTGAAGGGCGACTTGTCAGGCGAGCCCTGCGTGGACGCGGGTCGCTTGAGCGAAGGCGTTCCTGGCCAATGGCCCTCAGGCTCGCCGTTCCAACGCGCCAGCATGTCGGCCACCTGGGGTCCCCAGACCTCCTCGCCCTTGGTCAGCTCGTCAAACTCGAGCGTGTTGGTCCCGCCGACGGTGAAGTCGCTCTGGCGGGTGCGGCATAGCTCGGCCATGATGCCTCCGGAGCCCAGCTTCATGCCTAGGTCGTGGCAGAAGCTCCGGACGTAGTACCCAGACGTCACCGTCAGTCGGATCTTGCACGCCGCGGGGCCCTTATCGTTCCACGGCGGGGGCGTGTCCTTGTCCGGCGAGGGGGGCACCAGGTTCAGGCCCTTGGACGAGTGCGTCGGCTGGGGCAGCGCGCCGAGCGCGCCTGACATCATCAGGTCCTTGCCGGGTTTCTTCTTCTTGTGGGGTTTGTCGCGGATGAGCTCGTCTTGTCGCTCCTCGAACTCTCGCTTAAAAGACTCGTGCTCGGCGATGGCCTGGTCGTCTTCCTCCTTCTCCTCCGGCGTGAGCTTCATGGACTCCTCCTGCATCTTCTTGACCCGCCAGACCTGCTCGGCGAGGTTGCGCTCCGCGGCGCCGGCTTCCTCCAGGGGCCACCGGTGCTCGTGGGTGCCCGGCTCGTACCACTCGACGAGCTCGACCTCGAGGGCCTCCACCTCTCTGCCTTCAATCCGGCGGGGTATGGGCTTCCCCTCGCGGGCGTACTCGTAGAGGGGCTTTCCGTTCATCTTTAGAGCCGAGTACAGGGGCGGAATCTGCGTTTGCTTGCCGCGGAAGCTCTCGAGCTCTTTCTCGACCTTTTCTCTTGTAATGTGCTCGTATGGGCGCTTCGTGATGATGCGACCAACTCGATCGTAGGTGTCGGTGGTGGCGCCGAAGACGACGATGGTCTCGTACGATTTGGTGCAGTCGAGAAACTGGGGCAGGAGTTTGGTCGCAGTGCCAACGCCAAGGATGAGAACGCCGGTGGCGAGGGGATCGAGGGTGCCGCCATGGCCAATCTTGACCTGGGAGGCTCTCTTCTCGACTTTGCGGCGCCTGAACTGGCCGCCCGACTCCTTGAGGCGCTTGGCGATCTCGGCGTCGATCATGGGCTTGAAGAAGGCGGAGGGGTTGAAGTGTTGCTGGCACTCGCGGATAACCTGCGCAGAGCTCATGCCGCAGGGCTTATTGATGGCTGAGGAGCAACACCGTTAGCATGATCGCGCCTCAAGAAGCGCATGCCTTCAGGCAGGGGCCCGGTGGGCATACCGAAGACGCCATCGCGGACGACGTCCGAAGCCATCTTGACCACTTTTGCGGCTCGGCGCATGCGAGCCTCCAAGGTCGCACGGGGGGAGGGCAACGCGCGTGACCGCAGGCAGAACGGGCAGATGGAGCAAGCCGACGGCTTACGCTCCTCGTGAGACAGCTTGCAATCGCGAGGCAAAAGGACGGAGGTCGCAATTCGTGCTGATGGCACGGAAAGAGTCGCACGAGGCTCGCGGTGGTGGTGCTGCCAACCGATCAAAAAAAAAGTTACAAAGTCGGGGTCGCTGAAATTTTAGCGGGCGCGCCCAGCGAGCCGAGTCAATGGCCTGGAGGTTCGTCAATGGATGCCGGGCCGGTTCTATAGGACAATAATAGCGGTCTCCATTCAACCCCCGGCGCGCTGGACCCCACCCCACCTGTCGAGCAGGTGGCCGCACCAGGCCGGCACCCAGCAGTCAGCACCCCAGCCCTGAAGGTTAGGTTGCGCATTGGGACCTAGTGACGGGACTGTCGCCGGGACCTCCAGCGCGACGCCAGCGCCCCGAGTCGCGCGGCTCTACGCGACCTCCGTCCGCACCAGCCAGGCGTTGATGGGATGCCCCGCCACTCGGCCGCGCCAAACCTGCATCGTGCATCTTGCATCCTCCGCCAACTTCACCGGACCGCCGCATCTCGCGCCCGCGCAACCACCTATACCTTATTCTTGTGCCTTGCATCGCTACCTCTACCACTGGGCTACGAGCTGCGACCCTCGCCATCCACTGAGCATTGCCCGTTTCCGCTCGCCAGCAACCATCCAGCAGTCAGCCTCGGCTGGCTATTCGCTTCGAACCGGAACTCGTCGCGGCGCGAGCGCACCTCCGTCTCAACACCCGACACTCTGCAGGCCGAGCACCATAGCCGCCATTCATGGTTCCTTCATCGCAATAGTTGGAAGTCGGCGCAATGGTGGGAAGACGGCGCCGTGCCTCCACGTCGAGCGTGGAGAGTGTCGACGAGAGCCAGATCCGCTGGCGTCAAGAGGTCTCCGTCGTGCGCTCCGTCCCCAAGGACGAGTCACCCGACGACTGGCCCATATTCGAGCTGCGTGATGCCGTCGTGCTCAACAAGGATGGCAAGTCGCTCGAGAATGCGTTGCACGTGGGCATCAGAGGGCCTTTCATCGTCCGGGGCAACCTCATCATCGACGATGCGTCGCAGAGAACTCACCGTACGTGTAGAACATTCTCTACCCGTCTTCATACCCCCGCTCGCTGACATTTACGCGACAGTGATCATGAGGGTGCGGAGTTCGACTCCCATCGAGATCCGCCAGTGCATCACATACTCCATCGGCGAGTCTCCAGACGGAAGTCCCATCATTTGGGTCTCTGGAAAGGGCGGCTGGTACGAGATCAACCCGGCGCCCAGATACCGCGAGATACACCGAAAGATGTGCGAGGCTACAACCCTCTACTACACCCTTCAGGACATATACAGCGAAGAACCGCCCAAGAAGACCAAGAAGTCAAAGCAGCCTGCCTTGATGGACGAACTCTCGGGTGTGTTCTTCAAGTACGCCCTGAACGTTGGTGACGGCAGCACTCTGGAGGAGGTCATTGAGCGTTGCCACGAACATGCTGGCTTCTTCATCTGCAAATTCCAGCAGGATACCTTTGACTGGTCCGCCACGGCCTTCCATCGATGGCTTACAGCGGAGCATGAGGTGAGTTTGACGTGTCGACACGCACGTCATGTCACTAACGAGCAGTAGGATCTTGCCAAGACGATTAAGGATGTACTTGATAACCCCCGCAAGTTGTCGCCGATACCCTCAAGCAAGGCTCTTAGCCCGAGGCCGCAACAAAGCCTCACGCCCTTCACCCCAAGAGACAGCGCCGATAGTCCGCCGCAAGGGCTGGTCAAGAGATCAAGCTCCATTGTCGTTCCCGTCAACAAGCCTGTTCCCCAGCTTGCCAAGGTTCGGGCTGCGAGAGCCGATCCAGAAGGGAGTCAGACTCCCCTTACATCAACAGCGCCACCCTTAACCACTCCGCCGACGGCATCACAAGCCGCAACTCCTCCTCAACCCCCTGCCAACAGCACTGATGATGACGATACACCCTTCGCCTCGATGCTGAAGGCTATGGAAATCGTCTATGACGAGCAGGCTGGCAAGAAGAAGGGCCTCCTCGCCAGTGCGGTCATGAGCAAACTCTACTTTGCATACAAGTTTCCCAACTACAAGGACGGCACTCCGGGGTGCTATAAAGTGCCTGTCAGGGAAGTGTTGCACTATTACGCGTCCGATCTCCTACGGACTCTGGACGCGAGCAAGTGGCAAGAACATGAAATCTGGTCATTCCTTCAAAAAGTCTCCCAAACCGAGTTCAAAACCGTCGCCTACAAGATGTCGGACTTCCCGGTCAGCATGGTGCCGCGCAAGCAGATGTCTCGGGTGCCGAAGCAAGACCACACTCAGCCGCAGGCGCCCCAGGCATCTGCCAGCCGAGCCGACGATGATTCCGACAGCACGCCTATACCTCAGGGTAAAGGCCTCAAGGGCCGCCCGAGGAGCAGCCTACGGCCCATCTCGACCAAGAAACGGCCCCGGTCTCAACTAGAGACCGATTCGGAGTCAGAGGAGGCGGGAGCCAAGAAGTCGCACTTCTTCTCTGATGAAGACGATGCCATGGACGGCGTCCTGTCCGCCGATGCCGCGACGAATGGAGACAGTGCCCCCGCGGTGTCGAGCCCGGAGCCCATACCCCTCGTCATCCGAGCCGAGAAGATCCCGTCAACGGTGCCACAAGGTCCCAAGGATACGTGGCTATGCGACCAAGACGGCTGCGATTACATCGTTCGCGGCGGAGACGACTGCCAGGCACGCATCCAGGACCACTTCCGAGACCACGAGCAGCAGCTCGAGAGGGTCAGCCTGGCCATGACAGAGAGCCGAGCCGGCCACATGCCTATAAAGTACGCACGCTATGCATATTTCCCCCCGTTTTTGATTCTCGTGGATTTGAAGCCTCTGCCGAACATGGCGCAGTCGCGTCCTGCCACTCAGCCTTCTCCTTCTCAGGAGGAGGGCGAGGCCGCACCGGGCCCCAGTGGACCGTCTGTTGTTACTGATTTCAAGGGCTATGTGCGGCAGTTCCGCCGCTCCCCGCACCCCGTCGCAGACAAGATTCATGGTCTAACGTGGTCGCAGTCACCTGCTCGAAAAAATCAAGCGCCTGGGCGACAAGAGCCAGCATCACCAGGCCGACGCCACCGGGCTAGCCGTTCCCCAACCCATCAAACGGAAACTGATAGTGTGACCGTCACGGGCGACGACTAACTGTTCCTCTTTTCTGGCGCATCGGAAGCAGGTTGGGGTTCTGTCGGTCTTGTCCGTGTGTCGGGGTCTGGGTTTCGTTTTGGTGCATGGGAACGGGAGGGATGGAGTTAACGACTACGACGGCGTTTTGAGGAGTCACCTTGTGCGGTGTGTTTTTGGCCGATGATACGCACCGGCCTGTTTCCGGCCTTCGATGGATGGATGGATGGATGATACCGGGCGTTTGGATGGCTTTTGCGGGCAAACATTCATGGATAAGGAGCGGGATGAGTGCATGCGAGGACACGGGCGTGTGGTAAATGCGTAGGCATCTCGCCTGAACGCAACCATCAGCAGCAATGTTTTCTGCTGCCTGAGACCATAGCGACGAAATGGTACATTTTAGGTATAGTCTTGCACGGCTGACGCCACGCCCGGCGCGCTCGTGGATAGTCTTAATAACCCATGTCCTCCGTCGCGGCACGTTTCTTGAACGCCCCCCTGCCCAGGTTCAACTATTGTACAATCCCTGGCCCCCAACCCGGCTGCGCTGAACCTCATCCTGTGGCGGCTCTGAAACGCAAAGCACCATCAATATCAAAACCAAGAGAGCATGATCCGCCGACTCATCAAGCGCCATCGACGCCATCCGCACCGGCCGTGTCCATCTTGTCCACCTTGGCCTTGGCCGCCTCCAGCACGAACGAGTCCTCAATGGCCGCCAGGCGCTGGTAGACCCTCAGCCAGCGCTGGCCCCAGCGGCGGATCGTGGCCTCCTTGCTGCTGGAGCCGTCCCCCTCCTCCATGAGCTCGTCCTTGCTGCCGCCGGCCCAGCTGGCGAGCGCGTCGTTGGCCGCTCGGAACAGGTCCTGCATGGCCTTGACCTCCCGCTCGCGCGTCTCTTCGTCCACGTCGGGCGAGACGAGCAGTTGGCGCACCCGGCCGCTGACCTTGGCGACGGTGGTGGAGACGAGCTCGAAGATGTGTGGCCGCCCGAGGGACTCGCCGCCTTCGGCGCCGTTGATGGGCGTGTTCCCTGCGAGGGCCCAGTCGACGACGGACAACGGGGTCAGGATCGCGTAGTTGAGCAGCTTCTCGATGATGCTCAGCGCGACGCCGGGGTGCGCGTGCCAGTAGTTCATAACGGCCGAGACGATCTGCGCCCGGGCGGCAGGGGACGAAGATCCAGCATCGATCAGCCTGCCCTTCGTTCGATCGATACAAGCTAGAACATGGCTCAGGGACTTGGATCCCACCCAGCACACGGCAGTCATGAAAACCTCTGTGCTAGCCACGATGGGGTCCAGAGCCTGCTCGCTGGCCTGCGTCTGAATGCTGTCAATGACAGGCTGGAACTCCTCGTCAGGGGCCTTGCGTCGGAGCATGGCACCGATCTCCTTGCCCTCGGCAGAAAAGGGTGTTTCTATAGGTTTACGGTCAGCCTAGATAGTCTTCTTGGAGGCGAAAGTTCGGTGCCTACCAGGATTGTTGTACTTGAAGTCTGGGACGTCCTTCTCCTTTTCGGGGCCGATGAGCTTCCTGTACGACTCAGGGACAGTCTTTTCAATGCGCGGCGCAAAGCTAAGCCTGACCTCCTTGTCCAACGCTCCAACCAGGAACCAGGTCCGCGGATGCAGCTCGGGGAGGTCCGTGTCTTCCTCCCACTCGGCCCACTTCCAAGTGAAGCCAAAGTTGCTGAGGTGGTGCGAGAACCAATCCAGGAAACGGTAGCTGAGCTCCAGATCCAGACGCGGGCTGTTCCGGTAGAGATATCTTATGGCTCTTCCGAGACTCGGCGCGATGGCAGCCGGGGCCAGCTTGCAGGCCTCTGTCAGCACAGAGTGGTAATATACAACTTTGCGCTCGGGTTTGGGCAACTGAAAGAGTTGTGAAAAGACGGTGTCGACGGCCACATCTTCGGGCTTCCACGTGTTGCGGCCAGTGGGGAAATTGCGCAGCTCGTCGAACGGGGTCGCGCGTTTGACGAATGTGCCATCGGCAAAGTAGCAGTCAAGATCCGTCAGGTACCTAGCAACCGCGTGCCTGTTGAAATCGAGGACGTTGATGGTGTCAACGAGGCCGTCTCGGATCAGTGAAGAAGCCAGCGTGGTGGTCCCAGGCACCGACTCAACATCTTGCTCTGAGTAAACGGAAAGCCAAACTTCCGGGAAAAGCGGACGGGGGCCCGCAATCACCGTAGTAGGAACGGTGATCGAGGGCACGGCGTGTTTCGTCGCGTTGGCGACCTTGTCCTGGGCCTCGATTTCCTCCAGAGGCAGCTGCCAGGGGCGAGGCAGGCAAGCGAGCTCCCAATTTTTGGACGCTTCCGCCTGCAGCTGCTTCTGCAGCAGCATGCATAGGCTCTGAGATGCCGCTGGACTCTCCTCCTTGCCCTCGGGGTGGTAGGGGTCCACCAGTGCCTGGAGTGCGTGCGGCTCAGACGCGATTATGTCCGTCTTCTCCATCAGATCGGCTGCCTTCTGTTGGAACTGCTCCGGTGCCGCAGCCATAGCGTATGGAATGGTCAGAAGAATGATCTTGACGAGCTCTGTGCCAATTGTCTGCCTCAAATTAGCGACCTTGCTCTGGCGCAACATTGGAAGTAGGCCAAATTACATCGTCGGAGCTCGCCGTTTGCAAGTCGGCCGCTCTGCTAAACAGCTCCTCGAGCAGCGGAAACACGCCATCGCCCTCCAAACAAGGCTGCAGACACGCCAAGAACTTGAGAAGGAGCTTGACCTGCCGCCACTCTCCTTGCGCAATGTTGCTGTCGATAGCCTGCGACAGGCGAACGAGGACCTTCTCCCCGAGCTCGGGGTTGGTGGCGTTGGTGACCAGAACTACACCAGCAACAAACGGAGTCTTTAGCGGCTGCTCCACGGCCAGCTGCATTGCGAGGTCGAGAAAGGTGTCGCGCAGCTGCTGGTCATCGTGGTTGTCGGTGATCATCCGTGCGATGGACTGGACTTCAGTGCCCCAGTCCCGCAGCGGAGAATCGGCGATGCCCAGGAGCTGCCGACGAAGGCGTACAGGCACGGGCGCAGAGTCGACCTTGCGGCGCTGCTGTCGGCGATCGTAGTTATCGTCGTCATCTACCAAAGATCAGCCAACCAAGCTCCACGCGCTCGATTCTGGAGCTTGCGCCGCTCACCTCTGTACCGCCTTTTGCGGTTTCCGTAGCCACCAGACTGTCGTCTGTCGTAGTCGGCCATTGCGGTCGGTTGCTCGCGGCAAGGGCGTGCCTATCAATGATCAATGGAGGTCGGATGCACAAGGGTGATGCGCGAGGGTGGTTTGGCGTCACGCATTGTGAAGCTTCAGAAACCTGGGCCCCACAAATATGCAGGTGGACTGGCCCCTTGTCCTGCGCAGCCACCTGTGGCCAGTGGTTTGTGGCTGTCACACACCAGACAGGACTGGCTTTGGCTGGCTGCCTGAGGCATTCCAAAACCGAGCTCACACATTAGGCCAACAGCTCCTTTCACCAAGACACAGAAGCCTCTTCACAGAGCAATCCATCGATGGCTTATATCGTATGGGTCTCGACCCCTTGCTGCTATCCTGAAGCTGCCGTACATTCGCCCTGCGTTCTCCCAAGGACCGCTCCGCGGGGGAGTACCCTTCGGCTTCCGGCCACTCTAGGTATATCAAAAAAACCAAATTCAGGAACCTCTTTTCTTTTCTTTTGAGCTTCGAATACTACGCCGGCCTCATGGCTCGCTCCAGGGCCTCATCGCCAGACCTCGCATCGACACCAATCTGACATAGCACGCTGCGTGCCGTTCCGGCCGTATACTCCAACCTAGACCAGGTCCATCCTGGTCCGATCCCAACCGTAGCTTGCACGCCTGATTCGAGTATAGCCTGACAGCCGTCCCAAGCTCGAGCTGAGAAATGGCTGCCGGGACTCATAACGACCGCACGAGCTGGGTCGGCGTAGAGCAAGGTCAGCACGGCCCTCCCTCCAGGCACAGCAAGATTGCTGGGCGCCCTGATACGCGAACAAAAAGGAAAAAGGAAAGTGAAAGCCAGCCGTCTCATGCGTCGAAACGTGGTCTTAAAGGTGATTCCCGTCTTGCCAAGGCAGTGAGCATGTTGCCCACCTGTGCGGACGGCAGCGAGGCGCCACCCCCCAGCCAGGGGTGTCGATGCGGAGGCTGACGAAGCAAGCCCGCCAGCCTCCTGAGTGAGAGAGCGGCTCCCCGGCCTGTCTCTCTCTCACGCACAGTTGCGAATATCATCTGCTGCCGCCGAGTGGAACACATGTGCCAGTCCCGCCCCAACGCCACGAGCACTGAGGCTACGTTTCCCTTTGCCGATCTCCCGATCAGGTTCGCGTATCGAGTCATTACCTACAGCATCCTCCATAATGCGATGCCAGGAGTGGATGCGGGCAGATGTTGTTTCCGAGACCGCCACGCGCTTTCCGTGGCTGAACTTGGTCTACCTCGATCCATTCCGGAATCGTTGGAGATCAGTCCAGCTTGGCCATCATCTCTTGCTTCGTCATCGGTGTGAAGTTGTCGATGTCGAGCCCTTGAGACGCCAAGACGGGTTTGATGTGGGCTGGTACGAGCTGCGGGTTCAGGTTCGGCGCAATGGAGAGTTCTATACACTCAAATTAGCAATTTCACACGTTTGCGCGTCCAGCAGATGCACGTACCATGTCGGGAGAAGTCGAAGAGGGCAGGCAGATCGCGGAGCTGGCCAGAACCGTGCCTCGAGTCGGGCAGCTTGGTGCTGGGATCGCGCAGTTCGTCAAAGAATGGGTGAACCATGGCATCGATGGCAGATTGTCTCTCTGTCGGCGTGTACTCGAGGAGCCTGGCGATAAGATCGATGGCGTTGGCGTCGGCCTTGCGGAACACCTTGTTGAACGGGTGAGGCTTGATCTGGGGGAACTTGTGCTCCATGTAGTTCGGATTCATAGTGCGGATCTGCTCACGCGTCGGTGTACCGAGCACCTTGATGATCTCAACCAGCTGGTCAATGCCAGATTCGCCGGGGAACAGGGGCTGTCCGAGCATGAGCTCGGCCATGACGCAGCCGGTGGACCAAACATCTGCAATCAATTAGTTCGAGATCTCTTTGACGAATGGGGAGGCAACCAACCAATCTTAGTCGTGTAGTTCGTGGCGCCGAAAATGAGCTCGGGGGCGCGGTAGTATCGGGAGCAGATGTACGAAACATTGGGCTCGTTCTCGACCAGGATCTTGGCGCTGCCAAAGTCGCACAGCTTCAGGATGCCGCTATTCGGGTCGAGCAGGAGGTTCTGAGGCTTGATGTCGCGGTGGCAGATGCCTTGTGAGTGGATGTAGGCCAGGGCTCGGAAGAGCTGGTAAATGTAGAGCTTGACCTCGAGAATGGGCATGGTCGTCTTCATCTTGTTGAAGAACCGCGATGCTCGGTAGACGGTCTCGGGGACAAACTCTTGAACAAGGTTGAGATAAACTTCGTCTTTCTGTGATGCCGGTCAGCAAAGGCGATTCAGTTAGGCCTCGTATTCGGTGATGCTTACACGCTCGCCGTTGGAATAGTAAAATGCTTTCAATTGCACAATGTTGGGGTGCCTGACAATGCGCATGATCTGCAGCTCACGGTTCTGTAGAGGCCATTAGCATCCAATCTTCCTTTGAGGGAGGGCGGGCTCGTTCTGCTCAGAGCGTACCTTGAATCTCTTGTCTTGCAGAACACGCTTGATGGCGGCGTCCTCTCCTGAGGGGGAAAGCTTGGTCTGGAAGACAACACCAAAGGATCCATTTCCGACAATCTTGCATTGTGTATATTGTAGGTCCCGGGTTTCGCCCGTGATCCCATCCTGGACTTTTTCACGGATCACCTCTGCAACGAGTCGGTTAGCCAAATGAACCGCAGAGAATTTGCGGAGCGGACTCACCCCCCATCCTGAGGCTATTGAACGCGTTGGGTCTGTGAGACGACATGCTGGGCACTCCGTGTCCGGGCCAGACAACCGGTGCTACCGAAGCTTGGTGTATTGGCGTGTGGAGCGTCGACGAGCGGGGCGTACAAGGTCACGGGCGTTGGCGCGGGCCGTGGTGGGCAACGGGCTCGAGGCTTGGTGCGAGATGTATGTGTGCCGTACGACAAGTCGCGACGGGGTTGCGGATGGCCGGCGAGCTGTGAGCTTCAATCGCGACCGCGATGGCAGGAAGTCAAGGCGTGCGTGAGTGACGATCCGTGGGCGCCGAGCGGGTTCGAGCCTCTGTCACGGCAGACGGGTGCGTCACGGCAGAGGGGAACGAGGTAGGCTCAGGAAGCAGTCGAGTTGTGGCCTAGGCAGGATCTCAGTCAGTCTGGCCGTCCGGTGCTTCGCGGGCACACGCTGGTAAAATCAAGGTAGAGAAGCGGCAGGGAGTAGAGACAAAGGTGACGAGGTGTTTGCGAGGCGGTGTTTTGGCAACGCAGCCTCAGTGCCCAGCGCTGCAAATGCTCAGTGCTCGCTGCTCACTGCTGAGTGCCTGGTGCTGGCTGGGGCTTGGAGGGGTGACGAGGGTGCGGGGCTGGCAACAGGTCGGCAAGGTAAGGTAGGAACAACGGACGGGAAGCGGCCGGGGCGGGCACAGGCTTATTAAAAGAGCCGCTGGCGCGGTGACGACAGCCCAAAGAGTGCTGTGCTCGAGGCTGCAACGCAGGTCAAGGGGCCCAGGGCAGAGACAGCTCGACCAGTCGGGGCGGCGCGCTGCAGGACGCACTACCTCATGCATGCAGTAGCAAGCAGCCCGAGGTGAAAATGCCTCCCGCTGTCAACAGAGGCGCGATGCCAGGTACAGGCGCCTCGGGGGGCCGGGGTGCGAGCGAGAGCAGGATGAGCGCAGAAGCAAAAACCCGGCTGGCAGGGGACGAGGCAGAGGGCCAAAGCAGAGTCGGAGGATGGGAGCGGACGCGAAGGGGTTTGCTTCCGTCGTCCGGGCGGGCTGGTGAACGCACGTATGAAATGAAGGCAGTGAGTGTCACGAATGCCACGGGCCACAGAAGCCGGCATGGCAGCCTTCCCGAGTTGGCAGGGGGGCCTTGGTGCTGGAAAGCTGTGCGTGGGCTCGTGACGAGGTGCCGGGGAGACTGGCAATGCAGGCGATGCAGCATGCACGGTCACGAGCTCTGGCGGGCAGAGGCAGCTCGCCTCGCGCGTGCAGCCAGGTAAGCAGTGATGCGAGGCCAGGCACGGACGTCGTCGAGCGAAGGCGACGATGACGACCAACCGTCGCTGGGGGAAAAGGAAAGCAAGATGGGCGGTTGACGGGTGCGTGAAGGGGAGAGCGAGCAGCAAGCAGACAAGAGAAAGAGATGAGAGAGCTCGCCTTACTCACCTTGGGGTATTCAGGACGCTGCAACGCGGTGCTGCAGAGGGGGCTCTTTTCTGGAGCAGTCGAGGGCGATGGACGCTGCGTCTGTGGCTCGTCGGGAGAGAAGGACGCAGGGACGCCGGGACGCAGGGATTCGCGAGCGAGGCGAGGGGAACCAGGACCGGTGAAGACGTTGGCACGGGGTCGTCGAAACGGCGTGGTATCAAGGAGGGGACGGCGATGGTCGTGGCGGCGAATTGCGGATGCTACCAGAGGCGCTGGGCGAGCACGGCAGTGAGGAGTCGTCGAGGTGCGCGAAACCGGTCTGTTGCAATGGACGGCGGACGACGATGGTCAACGAGACGAGAGCTGCTGAATTGCGAGGTTGGCTTCAGCCCGTCGAGGAATGCGGGAGTAACGGTGGAATGAAGGAGACGGAGGTGGGAAGGCGACCGGGGTGGGGGGAGGGGTCGGGTTTGCTGGTGCGTGAGGTGCTGGTGCGCCGCCAGGCTGTGGTGGGAGGGAGTTGGTGCTGAGGTGCTGCTCTGTGTCTGGGCTGGGGCCGGGCCGGGCTGGGCTGGGCTGGGCTGGGCTGCGTGGTTTGGCGAGGACGGGCGGGTGAGGTGGGCAGGGCCCAGCGCTGGAGACGGGCAGGGTGCAGCGCACGGTAATAGTGGTGGTGCTGCTCCGGGAGCGAGCGAGCGATGGAACTGGAGTTGGTCGTGCCCGGGTGGCGGGTGGTGCTGGCGCTCGTGCTGCTGCCGCTGGGCGGAGGGGCGAGATGCGCGGGCGGGACGACTTGACTTGGCTGGGCTAACGCAAGTCAAGGTGGCCCAGGGTGAGGTGAGTCTGGCACTGGCGAGGGACGGGGGGGCGTGGGTCCGTGTGGGCGCTGCCGGCCAGGCGCTCGTTCGGTG